TTTTTTTTTTTTTTTTTTTTTTTTTTCTTTCTATCTATCAATATATATATATATATATATATATATATATATATATATATATATATATATATATATATATATATATATATATATATATATATATATATATATATATATACATTGTCATTTAGCAGATGCTTTATCCAATGCGACTTACAAATGAGGACAAAGAAGCAATTTAAACAACTAAGAGCAACAATGAATAAGTGCTGTAGGCAAGTTTCAGGCGTGTAAAGTCTAAGCAAAGCATAAGTAATGTAAGTTTTTTTTTTTTTTTTGAGTACAGTTAGTGGTATTGCCAGAGAGGCAATTGCAGATAAGGAAGGAAAGTGGAGACTAAATAGTTGAGATTTTAGTCGTTTCTTAAAGACAGCGAGTGACTCTGCCGTTCTGATGCAGTTAGGGAGTTCATTCCACCTACTGGGTAGATTGAATGCGAGAGTTCGGGAAAGTGATTTCTTCCTTCTTTGGGATGGAACCACGAGACGACGTTCATTCACAGAACGCAAGTTTCTGGAGGACACATACATCTGCAGAGGTGAGAGCAGATAAGAAGGAGCAAAGCCAGAAGTCGCTTTGTAAGCAATTATCAGAGCTTTGAATTTGATGCGAGCAGCAACTGGCAGCCAGTGCAAACGGATGAGCAGCAGAGGGGGTGGAATTCCGAGAGTTTTCCGGGAGACAGAACAATATGGAAGATGGGTCTGAAATATGGGAGACTCCAGGGGAAAATGGGGGTGTTAGCAGCTTGTTAAGGCTGTCTGTATCATCCACCTTAGTGTTTTTGGGAAGCATATTGAATCACTATAGATTTTACATTCTTCATTTGCGCAATATGTACCTGCCATGTGCATAGGAGGAATGCTGATATGATATATGAAACACAATCGGTTGGCAAATATATTGGGTGCATGTAAATATGACCCTGAAAGAGTCGTGCCTCACCAGCCACAAACCTCACAGCACGTCACCAATATATACTGTTCATTTGCACAATAAAATCCTCCAAAATACAGTAGAATTCAACATATTTGCCTTTTATAATACAAACATTTACTACAAATATTTATTAAAGAAGTCATGTCAACTGAAAAAAAGACCGTCTTTGGCAAATATTAACAATTAGGAATCAACAGCTAATCCAAAGCTTTTCATACAATTTCTTAATATAAAATATTAAAGAGTGAACAGAAATCAATCATAATTTAAAGGCTGTACAGAATAGATCTCGTAGAGCTTCAGGAATTATTAAATAGAAAAGATCCAGTCATATAATGACAAGCTACATAAAGAGCACTGGACGAATACGAGGACGAAGCATCTCTGTCCATTCATCAGTGGCCATTCAGCGTCTCGACAGGTCTCCGCCTGCGGAAAGCAGAAAAGTATGAACAGCAGTGGACATTTTAACCTGGAACCTTGATTCAGACCTTTCTGAAAGTTCACTGTACGCCCTGAGCACAAGCTACAGAGAAAATGCACTCCATTTGCATTTAGTGGCCTGAATCAGAGTCAGTGTTAGTGCCTGACACACCGCAAAGGATGATTTGTTTATTCAGTACTTCAAGTCAATATCTACCTTCATAAATTAAGACCAATTTAACAGAAATGCACACTGACACTGGGTATTAAGTCTTGTTTTGATTTATTATTGTTTTAAAAGATTTATGCATAAACAAGACTCCCATTGGAGTCAGAAAAATGATCTTATTTTCACTTTAAATTAAAATATTGTGATGATCCCAATGGCAGGGGTTTTGCTTCTTATTTTAAACTCACTTAACTCTGATACATTTAGCATCTCGAGTTATGTAAATTGTTTAACTCTAATAATGCATTTTGGTGCATTTTATGCATTAAATGTGTACATTTCTTTAAAAACAAAAAAGAAAGTTTTTAGTACAGGGATGAAAGCTTTCAAATGCTCAAAGACCCCTTTTCAGACTTTTAGCAATTATTTTTAAAAGGTAAAACCATTTATAAAGGTTACACATTTAGACTATAAGTGCAAAAAATACTTTTGTAAAATGATCTATGAACATCAATTTGTGCCAACTGTCAGATATTTAATCTTTGCTTTAGTTAAATGCAGTAATGCCATGTTGAAAACACAGTAGCATTTAAAACTTTACTTTTTTGGTCAAAATCTTTGACTGCAAATGGGCTGTTCTAATACAATTCATTCATTCAGTCATTTTCTTTTTGGCTTTGTGCCTTTATCAATCTGAGGATCAACTTATCCAGCACATGTTTTAAGCAGCGGATGCCCTTCCAGCTGCAACCCATCACTGGAAAACACCCACACTCCCCTTCACACTCATACACTACGGACAGTTTAGCCTACCCAATTCACCTGTACCACATGTCTTTGAACTTGTAGGGGAAACCGGAGCACCCGGAGGAAACCCACTTGAAAGTGGGGAGAACATGCAAACTCCACACAGAAATGCCAACTGACCCAGCCAAGACTCGAACCAGCAACCTTCTTGCTGTGAGGCGACAGTACTACCCACTACGCCAGTGGTTCCCAGACTTTTCAGCCAGCGACCCCCAAAATAACAAAGTCAGTGACTCGCGACCCCCATTTTTCAAAGTGGTTATACTGTAAATATATAAACGTTGCAGACACAACTATAGCCCCATATAAACATGAGCATATTGACAACACATAAATGCAAAATATAATGTTTTTTTTTAGTCATTTATTAATTTAATTACATTTTAATATAAAAATTAAAAGCTGATGGCTGATTTTTGTTTGTATGTTGTTGTTTCTTTAACGCAACTATTAACGATCATCTGTGGGTTATGAATAAAATGTTAATTCAAATAGTTTAAGCAAATTTATTTGAATTTTAGAAATCACCAGGCGACCCCTTGTCATTGTCCCGCGACCCCCCAGGAGGTCCCGCCCCCCACTTTGAGAACCACTGCACTACGCCACTGTGCTCTCCAATATAGTAGTTAAAAATATTAAGTTGTGACCCATGTAAATTGCTTTGAACTAAACAGTCTGCCAAGTGACTGTGAATAATTACAAACAATCCCAACATTACTGTCACAACAACCAGCTAATCTAGCCTATGCAGATCGCTGAAAAACTACAACTACCATGATGCTGTGCACCAATCAACACCTGCTCCAGCTAACAATAATTCGGACACTCAGCCTGTTTCCAAGAGTCCAAGAACACAGCGAATGGAATCGCGTTCCTGTGGAGACCAGTCTCACCAAGTTACTTCGGTAGAACAAACTCAGGACATCGCGAGAACAGAGAACACGTCCTCTGAACACGCCTTCTTCCTGATGGTCACATGACTCAAAGGCGTTTTAAATGGAAAGTTATTTATACATTATTTCCACCGCCTTTAGTCAGCCGCAAGGACTACTGGGACTTCTTGTTACATGCCAGGACCTATTTGGTTATTTTATTGTTTATTATTGTCTCATCATGTGTTTCCGTCTGTTGGTGTGTGCCAACCAGTGTATTTTTAGTTAGTGTGGATTAGATAGGACGTCATTGACGTTGAAGATTTCTTTTTCATATCTTTTGTTTATTAGATTAGAATAGAGGGGATTTGTTGTGAATATTAGTAAGACTGTCTGGTTTTGTTTGGTTCTTTTATTTAGCACCACCCATAGCCAGTCTTTTTTACATTTCGTTGTTTCTTGTCTTTAACCTTGTATATATTGTAAATACCTCACTCACTGATTCACCCTCACTTTATTTTTGTAAATAAATCACTTATTTTTCCACATATTCCTGCTGTCCATGCTTATTTTGTATCACAATTTGTTTGCGAGTTTTTTTGCAATAACCAATTCCTCGGTTAAATGTGCAACCCCACTTCCCTAGACAAAAAGGGGTTGTAACACTTCTCAAGAGAGTTTTGCATCGATGCATCCTCGATATCAAGAACACATCTGAAAAAGTTTCACTCTTCCTCCGTTCTTGCGGTCTTGAGTTTCGGAACTTTGGCGTTAGATGATGACATTACATGAGAACACGAGGATGCAAGAACACTGAAGAACGCATATTGGGAAACACACGCACGTACGCAGGCACGCACACACACACACAATTACATGGACTATAAAGACCCCTCTCATTTTCACAAACACTGCTGAGTCTTGTTCTCTGTTAACATTACAAAGTGTTTTCCTTGTCTTAGCTTCCCGAGGTTTTTGCCCTTTGTTTTGTTTTATTGTTCATGCTACTATGCTGCCTGTCCAAACCATTTGCCTGCTATTTTGACTACCTTCTTTGGATTACCCTCATGCTCCAGTTTGTGCCTGTTTGACCATTGCCTGCCTGACTACTCTTGATTATTAACCTTCACGTGGATCCTCATCTACATTGTCCTGACCCGTCTGTAACAATAACACACATATTTTAATTGCATTATTAAAATCGGGAACGTTTAGATATTTGTACTTAAAACAAGACTAAATACAGTGCACAAAGTGACATCAACAAATTTAACCAACACAGAGAAAACACAGCTGTAAACAACTAAATATATTAATAAATATAGAACATTTATGGGTTTGGAAAATGTACCTTTGGCTGTAAAATGAGATTTTGAGCCATTTTATAATTCTTTTTTTACTACTCAACAAAGACAGGAAGCTTTTAGCAGCAGTGCAACACAATAAAGGCCAAAGGAAGCACATTATCTGCGTAACTGAAGCTTTGTGTGTGTTTTATCAATGTTGTGGTGCCACAGGGAATTATGGGAAACAATGCACAAGCCTGTCGCCTCATAAACCGGCCAAATGAGTGTTCGAGGAAGCTTTTAGCTGTTTATCATCTCTTAAGTGCACACAAAATACACTAATAAACACATTATTATTATTATTATTAGTAGTAGTAGTAGTAGTAGTAGTAGTAGCAGTATTATTGGAAACCAAATTTTCCAGAATTGTTGAAGCCGTCTGTAAACATCAATCTGCATGCAATGGCTCCACAATGGCGCACGGTAAAAAATGCGGCTGCTCTAAGTGAAGTCTCGGAGATTGAATTAGCTAACGAGATCAATCGCACTGATGAATGACTGAACAGGCCTGATGAAATTAGCAGAGAACATCACAATGAAAGAGCTCTGCCCGTCGCAGCAGGAGAACATGCTGGCATCACAACACAATGTTTTCCTCATGAATTCATCTTTGAGATAATGCTGGAATTACCGCACGCCCTTCAGAGCTGACCACTGTGAATAATTCATGCCAATATGAGTGATTTGGGTTTACCTATTTTCACCTGGAATATTAATATTAGTGACCCTGCCTATAAAATCTTAGGCTTTAATCCGTCTTACAGTATGTTGAATGGGTATGTTTTTGGAAATGTTTTTTATGACAAATAAATTGGAATATTATTGTATGGCCTTCAGAGCTGACCATCATGAATAATTCATGCTTTTCAATATGAAGGATAGGGGTTTACCTATTTACACCTAGAATATTAATATTAGTGACCCTGCTCGAAAAATCTAAGGTTTTAACCTGTCTTATGTTGCACTGTTATATTTTTGGCAATAGTCAAAAACATGCTGCATGGGTCAAAAGGATTGTATTATTAATGACAAAAACATTAGAATATGATTGCATATCCTTCAGAGCTGATCATCATGAATAATTCATGTATGTCAATAAGAATGAAAAGAGTTTACCTATTTTCACCTTGAAAATATGTATATCATAGTCATTCTGCACTACAAAACCTTGCATTGCATGATTCAAAATAATTCATTTTTTTAATGCCAAAATAATTACAATATTGCCACATGGTTTTCAGAGATGACCCTTATGAATAATTCATGCACATCAATATGAATATTAGGGGTTTAGTTTTTTTTTTAAACCTAAGATATTATTATTAGTAATTCTACCCACAAGAACCATATTATGTTGATGGCTATATTTTTGGCAATAGTCAAATATTTATTGTATGGGTCAAAATTATATATATATATATAATTTTTTTTTTTTTTTTTAATGGCAATTTAAGTATGACTGCATGGCCTTCAGAGCTGACCACTTTGATGAATAATTCATTCACATCAGTGTGTATGATAAGAGTTTACCTAGTTTCATCCGGAATATTAATGTTTTCTTGTAGTCTGATTTACAAAAGGAGGCTGAGAGTCTGCTTTAGTAAGATTAATTTATATTAGCATGTCCAAAAAGCACATAAAAGGATTTGAGTCATCATTAAAGTCTACAATAGCTTTATGTTATGAACAGATCTACATTTCAATGTTCTCCGCTTTTATCACTGAAAAACAGATGACGTTTCAGTCTGTTCATGAAACTAAGGTATCACTGCAGTTGAAAAGGTACTGTAAGTCATTGAAATATAAATTCATATTCATTAAGTATGCTTCAATTATTATTATTTGCTAGGATATATATATATATATATATATATATATATATATATATATATATATATATATATATAGGGTGTATATATATATATATATATATATAAATATATATATATTATTTTTTATTTTTTATATATATATAATTATACACACCCTAAATATATATATATTTAGGGTGTCACAGTGGCGCAGTGGGTAGCACGGTTGCCTCACAACAAGAAGGTCACTGGTTTGAGCCTCGGCTGGGTCAGTTGGCATTTCTGTGTGGAGTTTGCATGTTCTCCCTGCATTCACGTGGGATTCCTTCGGGTGCTCCGGTTCCCCCCAAAGTCCAAACACATGTGGTATAGGTCAATTAAATAAGCTAAATTGGCCCTAGTGTATGTGTGTGAATGAGAGTGTATGGTTGTTTCCCAGTGTTGGGTTGTAACTGGAAGGGCATCTTCTGCGTAAAACATATGCTGAACAAGTTTGCGGTTCATTCCGCTGTGGCGACCCCTAAATAATGAAGGGACTGAGCCAAAAAGAAAATGAATGAAGGAATATATATATATATAATTGTATCCGTTTTTTAAAAGACAACTATGTAGAATGAATAATATGGATGATTGATTACCATTATACAAGATCAATGCTATCTACTATAATAAATATTACTTACAGGTGCATGATATATCAATTTGACCAATACTAGCATGAATATATCAATGATTATTAAACTGCAATTTTTTATTTAAAAAATATTATCATTATTGCATGATTTTGACTGACAAAAAACTTTGAGATCACAGTGCAAAAATATGAAGTCAAATTCTAACAAAGAGGAAACATCAAGAGAGCTGTAAAATATTACATTTAGTTTAAATGGATCTAATTTGAGACGCTTTACAATAATACACTTGTGCTTACTGTTGCATAAAACTCTGTTTAAATGTAATTGCCTATATTTACAAAGAAATGAATCAAAATATTTATTTTCAAAAGGGGGTGTACTCATTTACACTGAGCACTGTATATTTACAGTAACAGTATAAGTTAAATGTATAGTTTCCACAGCTAAATATCATCAAATATCACCAAATATCATCACAAAAAGTTATCTTTTATTTCTAAAGCATTTAGACACTTCTATCAGCACATTCGTCCTCATAGAGCGCTGTGTGCTCTTCAATCTTTAGAAAGAAAAACAGGTCACGCTTTAAAATAGGGTTTCATTAGTTAGGCTATTTACTAACATGAACTAATTATGAACACTTGTACTGCATTTATTAAGCACAGCTCAACAATTACTAATGCATCCAAATTAATGCTTGTTAACATTAGTTAACGAACTAACAATGAGCAACTGTATTTTCATTAACTAACATGAATAAATACTGTAATAAATGCATCCCTCGTTGTTTGCTCATGTTAGTAAATGCATAAACTAACATTATCTAATGCAACCTTATTGTAAAGTGTTACCGAGTAAGCACACATCTTTCTGTATGACCTGATGAAGACTTTGTAGGCTGAAACGTTGTCTAATTAAATTGCTATTTTAATAGCTAAAGTGGCAGTGTGCAGATTTTTTGGGGATGTTTTCTATTGCTCATTAATCTTTCCAAACAAATGTCTTCATCCCGGATCATCCAGACTGAGGGCTACAGCCGTTTGTTTGTGCATTACCCACCCTGGCAGCTGGTACACTCGCAGCTGTGGATGACGGGCAGAACCACGGGCTCCAGATCTCCGCTGGCACACCGCAGATTGAGGAACCGCACCGGGTTCTGTGGGTCCAGTTTGTAACTACAGCAGTCGCAGAAAGCCTGCAGGTACGGCTCCTAAAAGACAAAACCACACCATCACACACTGCAAACAAATATGAGGAATAAATGAACAGGTCACACTTTAAAATACGGTTTCATTACTTAATGCATTCACTAACACCAGGGGTGACCAAACTCAGTCCTGGAGGGCGGGTGTCCTGCATAGTTTAGCTCCAACTGCCTTCAACACAACTCCCTGGAAGTTTCTAGTATACCTAAAGAACTTGATTAGCTGCTTTAGGTGTGTTTGATTGGAGTTGGAACTAAAATATGCAGGAAACCGGCCCTCCAGGACCGAATATGGACACACCTGACTAACATGAACTAATAATGAACAATATATGTACAGCATTTGTTAATCATAGTCCAACACTTACTAATGCATTATTAAAGGGATGGCCTGCAGTGTATTTTTAAGGCTTGGTTGAGTTCATAAGATGCAAAGCAATGTGTTCTCATGCTTCACTTGAAGAAAATCAGGTTATTTGTTCATATATAACCTCAGAAGGATCCGACCCTTCTTATCTGAACATGCAGCTCAACTCCTTGTTCAAGCTCTTGTTCTCTCCAAACTGGATTACTGCAACTCTCTACTAGCCGGGCTTCCAGCTAACTCTATCAAGCCTCTTCAGCTGCTCCAGAACGCAGCAGCACGAGTGGTCTTTAATGAACCTAAACGAGCACATGTCACTCCGCTGCTCATCTGTTTGCACTGGCTGCCAGTTGCTGCTCGCATCAAATTCAAAGCTCTGATGTTTGCTTACAAAGCGACTTCTGGCTTTGCTCCTTCTTATCTGCTCTCGCTTCTGCAGATCTATGTGCCCTCCAGAAACTTGCGTTCTGTGAATGAACGTCGCCTCGTGGTTCCATCCCAAAGAGGGAAGAAATCACTTTCGCGAACGCTCACGCTTAATCTGCCCAGTTGGTGGAATGAACTCCCTAACTGCATCAGAACAGCAGAGTCACTTAGAGAAAACGACTAAAAACTCAACTATTTAGTCTCCACTTCACTTCCTTAATCTGCAATTGCCTCTCTGGATATCCCACTAACTGTACCCAAAAAAAAAAAAAAAAGTACTAATACTTTCCTCTTAGACTTTACAGACCTGAAACTTGCCTATAGCACTTATTCATTGTTGCTCCTAGTTGTGTAAGTTGCTTCCTTGTCCTCATTTGTAAGTCGCTTTGGATAAAAGCGTCTGCTAAATGACTGAATGTAAATGTAAATATATCATACTTTAATTATATACAGCTACTCTGCTAACATGAAAGCCACTGTCATATTTTCTAGTTCCTCTGAAAGGTCGGCCCTAAAGCACAATATTTACATTGAACTTATGCGTCTGCTTACTGTGTTTCTGTACATTCGTTGGGTAGAATCTCTTTACAAAGAACACACTGGGGTCTATCGACTCCCTGCTTTAACATGCAGGTAAAACCAAGCGCAATTTTCACGCTGATTTGCATGAACTGCTTGCAGGAGAGGGATTCTTTAAAAGTCTTTCCATCATCTTTACTGCACTTACAGCTGCTAATTGCTCCATTCAACTGTATGTATGCAAAACCTTAAAGAGCGCAAAGGATTTTGGGATAAACATAATACAATAAAGTATACACTTATATAAATCACAAAACTGTATGTAGATTAATTATTTATAGTCATTCATAATTTTAGAATTGGAAAAAAATATCTCGTAAATCATTTTTTGTTTCTGCTAAGTTTTTTGCGGACCCCCTAGTGCTCTCTTGTGACCCACCATGGGTCCGCGCACCCCAGTTTGAAAACCCCTGGCATAGAGAGACACGCATAGAGAGACCCTGCATATGCTGCTGAAGATTGTGGCTGTTTACTGTTTATAGGGGTTTGACTGATGAATATGAATTTGCAGCTAAATTGTTAGCGGTGCCAAACAGCATTTCCCATTGCTTACATCCTTGATTACATCCTCGCTACAACCATTAACACTAGAAACTGTGCATGTAGTTGATCAATTTTAGCAAATAAAAACACATACAGGTTGGGTTAGGGGGACACATCCCTAAGGTTATGGACATTCTCCCTTTGCATGTGACATCAGAAGGGGAAAGCCCCGCCCACCAGTGACAATCTCTTCCTCTTTAGCATAGACTTCAGTCTTGTTTTCGAATCTGCCACTATGCTGACATACAAGTATGTGTAGCTCCGCCCTCTTCTGAAAAGAGCTCAGTCTCATTTGAGTTTAAAGGGAGTCACCAAAACCCCACACTTAGGATCAAAACCTATACGGGTCAGTTTCAGAGAGCTAGAGAACATTATGTGTGTGCTATTTTGAGCTAAAACACACACACACACAAACACACGAGACATCAGACTTACTTTACATTTTGTAAAAAGGATAATAGCTCCCTTTTATGCCAGTGTGTTCAAAATGTAATTCAAACTAGCCACAAGTGTCTGCTATTAAATGACCGATATTATCTTTGAAGCAGGTCCCTGCAAAAACAATTATAATAATCTTAAAACAAAATCACCAAGATTGTGTTTGTCTAGAAAATAAGTCACTCTTGATTAGATAAAGAGTTTTTGCAGTGCAGGACACACTCAGAATGATCTGCACGCCACATTTGCTGAAACCTGCCAGTGTCCTGCTCTGTGTGAATGCTGGGATCATTTAGAGAGTTGAACATGAGCCCATTAGGAGATTTGAAGGAAGAGGGCAGATGTGGAGACAAAAGAGGGAATGAAAAAAAGAAAAGGAGAGGTGCGAGTTTGGCGGAGAGTGTTTCCATGGCAACCTGACAGAAGTTTCCATTTCAAACACATTTTAAAATAGTTGCGGCAAACATTCGCACTGATGAAACATTTAAGTGCAGAACAAAGAGCAGCAGGCTGGATACATGTGGCGCTTTGGGGATGCGACGGTCATGAATTAGTTATAGAGCTTTTTATAAAAAAAAAAATAGGTATCATACATGAAAGGAATTTGTTTGGGATGTCTAGACCATGTGAATAAGAATAAATATTTACCACATTCATGGATTTAAACTGTCCTGTTAATTACTGTACTGTAATGAAAATAACAATGTAAAGAAAGTTAAAAGTAACACAAATTATAATACATGAAATCATTTGTCTTGGCATGTCTAGACTATAGAAATCAGAACAAGCATTTACCACAATTACAAATGATATGGAGAATATAAACCGTCATATTAATTTCTAATATAGTGCATATAGTGTGAAAAAAATAACATACATATTGTTAATAAACAAACATTAAATAATACCATACATTAATGGAATTTGTTTGTGATGTGTAGACCATATGAATTAAACCACATATTTACACAATCATAATAATATGAATAAAAACTATTATATTAATTACTGGCATGGTATATACTGTAAGAACATGACAATAATAGCAATGTTAAAAAAATAATATAATAGAATATAATAGAATATAATATAATATATTTTGTCATGTTCCTACAGTATATACCATGCCAATAATTTATATATATATATATATATATATATATATATATATAAATGAGCAATATCACACTCGTAGCAGTGCGATATGGCTGTTTATAGGCAGTGGGAGGCGTGCCTTAGTGCCCCCCCCCCCCCATATATATATATATATATATATATATACCTATACATTTTATTTTATTTTTTCTGGAAAAATTCTTAATGTCTTTTTATTAATTTTTTATCTAATTTTATTTTTATTCTTAAATTTTTATTTTAATAAACCTATTTTAAGGTCAATTAAGGTCAAATTATCCCCCTTAAGCAATATTTGTTTTGGTTTGTCTCCAGAACAAACCACTGTTATACAATGACTTGTCTAATTACCCTAACTTTACCCTAATTACCCTAGTGAAGCCTTTAAATGTCACTTGAAGCTGTATAAAAATGTCTTGAAGAATATCTAGTCTAATATTATGTGCTGTCATCATGACAAAGAGAAAAGAAATGAGTTATTAGAAATGAGTTATTAAAACTATTATGTGCAGAAATGTGTGTAAAAAAAATCTGCTCTCCGTTAAACAGAAATTGGGGGGGAAAGCATACAGGAGGGCTTATAATTCAGACTTCAACTGTTCATATATACACACTCTAAACCTCAGCAAATGCCACGCACCTCCAGAATGACGTCGGTCCTGGATAAACAGCGCCCTCTGCAGAAACTGACCTCCACGTTGTCCAGGCGACAGTCGCCCTTGGTGATGTTCCTGACCTCAGTGTGGCGGCGGCACTCAGCAACAGGATCCTCTGGAGAGCAGAGAGTGATGTTCACCGGAGAAAACAGGACAAGGAGAAACACACAGGGATTAAAACACACTCACACACACACATATACACGCAGAAACAGAGTGCTGAATTAATGGAGAGCAGAAACACTCAAAACAACTGACACAACAGTTCTGCATTTAAACATCCACGTTACATTAATGCACAATACAGGTCAAATGTGTGCAGTATATTTATGTTCAGGGCGGCACGGTGGCTCAGTGGTTAGCACTGTGACCTCACAGCAATAAGGTTGCTGGTTCAAGTCCCGGCTGGGTCAGTTGGCGTTTCTGTGTGGAGTTTGCATGTTCTCCCCGTGTTGCCGTGGATTTCCTCCGGATGCTCTGGTTTCCCCCACAGTCCAAACACATGCGCTATATGGGAATTGATGAACTCAATTGACCGTAGTGTATGGGTGTGTGTGTGTGTGTGTAAATGAGTGTGTATGGGTGTTTCTCAGTACTGCATTGTGGTTGGAAGGGCATCCACTGTTTAAAACA